GTGGACTGTATTTCTGCAATAATCTCAATCTCACAAATCGATCCTCTACACATTAGGGGGGGGGTTATATTAAATTAATTAATATATGCAGCCAATCAAACTACAGTAATAGCTACATACATTGATGAGGTTCCTTATCTTATAGTACAGCAGGTTAGTCCACCAGGTATAACTAGGGTGTAGACACCAAATTATCCTCTTTGAGGCAGCTTCCATCACCCAGTAACTGGTGCACAAAATCTTGCATCCTCGTCTTGACCTGTCAAAAGTGCGCTAGCTGTGAAGCCAGATACCTATATATGAACAAGTATATCAGAGAAAACACTACATGGAACATGAAGACCTGGCTTAATTACCTTTAGTTTGAGGCGATTTCGCGATCTAACCGGGTCACCCTATATCCTGACATTAATGGCCATAAATGAATGATAAACGGGTTTCGGATAGACACTTAACTTGAATTTGTAGACAGCGTGTTGACATGGTACACTTCTGGTTTCCATAACACTACGTCCAAGTAAATTTAACAGGAGCCGAATTTGCTCCCGTGTGAGCCTCTGGTCTCAATATAAAACAATGGCAATGTCTAACACTCCATTCTATTGACGTTACTGGCCGACATTGTCCAGAATGATAGGAGCCGAATTTGCTCCACACGTCTCGGAGGTGACACAACAATGGCTGCCCTCCTTCCTCACTGACGCCTGGCCTACTTTGTCCAGATTTCAGAAAGTGATAGAAGGGTCACATTTACTCTACTTTAATATTGATAATTAAGTTAATTTATATAAGATGTTTTTATGATGGTAAAGTCCAAAGACTAATGTATTTAAGAATAATTCCCACCATAATAGGTGGTGAATTATAATAGTATGTGGTGATGATATCCCGTTTTCTATAGACGGTAATTCCACTACAAGTTACGTTTTCTATTATTACTTGTTGGTAATACAGCTATTATCTGTATGATATTAAATGGTGTCGGATTTTCCGACATAATTCCCCAGGGGCTGCTCACGGGTCGAAGTCCTCTTTAGAACAGACGAACACCGATACTCCTCCTTCGGATTATTAGATTAATTTGATGTTAGTAGTTAGTAATCACACATTTGTGCGTCTGTTCGTACAGGACGGATGTCCCGTACTAGAGTTGCAGGGGTTAGAAGTCTAATGCGATTTCATTTCCCTGTCAACTCTTGAAAGGCTAATATTCAAGCCGTATTACATATTATTTAACCCAGAAGACTGAATGTGATCAAGTACTACAGTCAAGTATGATTCAGGGACTGCAGTGAGATCAGTGACATTAGATAAACTTGAAGTTTGTTCAGGTAACTGGTCACTGATATATAAAACACTGAGGCCCATGGAATACATCTTGATTAAATAATAAATGTATCAAATCAGTCATCAGATTTACTGGGGTTTAATTTAGTTAATTGATTCAGAAGATTGAATAGCTCATCATTAAAGTAAAGTATGGTTCTGAGACTGCAGTGGGTTCAGTGACATTGGTCGCAGTGACTTGTAGCTGGTTTAGGCTACTGTTCACTGATTTGCCACTGAGGCCTCATGAACTCATCTCCAGCTTTAAATGATGATACTAACATCAACCTCTGTTACTATAGTCAGCTGTAATCTCCTTAGTATAATGCTACTGGAGAAATATAATCAGCTGACAAATTTAGGTTTCTACTGGTATTGTTTATCTGCAGGCATAGGTCTCCTCAGGCTTGATACTGGGCCTGAGAGTATTTACCTCCTGCAGAGTTTAACATGGTTATGCCCTGATATTTAGTAGGGCTACCAATGAATTGATGGTAGTAGTCTGTCCCCACAAGGACAGCTATTTGGCATTTGATTTGCTCAAATTTACCTGCAGCTGCTTGATAATAGCTTTCCAGGTCAGCATAATCAACTTGAGATTGTTGTGACAAATCTTCACATTTCTTGATCTGTCTTGTTAAGTGGCCTTTAAGACCTGCAAGGGTTCTTTTCATTCTCCCTGCATTATCCATACTGGCTCGTTGGTGAAGCCTTGTGGGACTTGTACTTGGGCTGCTCATAATACTGAACAAACACTAATGGTAGCCTAGGGTAAATTCTGAACTCACTAGGCAATAATCCTACCTCTACTAGAGGTTAGCACTTAAAATTAATACACATTATATATATACAATCATACACACTAATGATTTGAGTGATAAACCAGTGTCACTGGAAGTACCTTTAGGTTAGCTCTTCTATATCACCCTAGGATGGAATTGACACTAATTAATCACTCAAAGGTGTAATGATCATAAGTAAATTATTATATACACAACTCAACTCGAGTTGATAAAAATTACACCCAAAATAGGGTCTGGACCATTCATTAATGGTGTTAGGTTATTGAATATAGTACAACTGACTATTGTAATAATGGGACTAGGATGAGCAATAATAGTTCAACTAGTCAATGGTTAATATCCTACCCTGTTGTGGGTTGACAATTAGCAAATATTATACTGTGATCACTAGTGCAATATATATTAAATAATTCTCTATTTTGGAGAAATAATATACACAATTATTGATAATAGCCTCTTAATTAGCCTCTATGAAACTTCTAATATTATCTAGAAGTATTAAATGTTATTAGTGACCTCGCGAAATAAAGTCCACAAAATTCGTGGATAATCTCTCGCGAAATGTAACACCACGAAATCCGTGAACAATCTCGCGAAGACACAGTCACTAATTAGGCTGGCTTCAATATTAGCGCTGTCATTTCACGAAATAACACGCCACCAAATATCTGTGGGTGTGCATGAAACCGCTGACGAAGCTGAACTGGGCTGAGGGAGGCTCCTGAGCTCCCTCGAGGCTTCACCGCTGACTTGACTGGCTTTGTTTAAATAACACTGCACTAGTATATTTAATGAATCCACTGGTTAACTGGTTCATCCGGTACTAAGATGACCAAATGTGGGTTCATAGGACCGAATATTCCGGTTCCGAAGGTCCAAATAATGTGGGAACCGACCTGTGAGATTTATATTTATTTAATTTATATGAATTTATATTTACGTTAATTTATATACTTCGATAGCAATTTGTATAATGTTAAGTGGACTGTATTTCTGCAATAATCTCAATCTCACAAATCGATCCTCTACACATTAGGGGGGGGGTTTATTAAATTTAATTATATGCAGCCAATCAAACTACAGTAATAGCTACATACATTGATGAGGTTCCTTATCTTATAGTACAGCAGGTTAGTCCACCAGGTATAACTAGGGTGTAGACACCAAATTATCCTCTTTGAGGCAGCTTCCATCACCCAGTAACTGGTGCACAAAATCTTGCATCCTCGTCTTGACCTGTCAAAAGTGCGCTAGCTGTGAAGCCAGATACCTATATATGACAAGTATATCAGAGAAAACACTACATGGAACATGAAGACCTGGCTTAATTACCTTTAGTTTGAGGCGATTTCGCGATCTAACCGGGTCACCCTATATCCTGACATTAATGGCCATAAATGAATGATAAACGGGTTTCGGATAGACACTTAACTTGAATTTGTAGACAGCGTGTTGACAATGGTACACTTCTGGTTTCCATAACACTACGTCCAAGTAAATTTAACAGGAGCCGAATTTGCTCCCGTGTGAGCCTCTGGTCTCAATATAAACAATGGCAATGTCTAACACTCCATTCTATTGACGTTACTGGCCGACATTGTCCAGAATGATAGGAGCCGAATTTGCTCCACACGTCTCGGAGGTGACACAACAATGGCTGCCCTCCTTCCTCACTGACGCCTGGCCTACTTTGTCCAGATTTCAGAAAGTGATAGAAGGGTCACATTTACTCTACTTTAATATTGATAATTAAGTTAATTTATATAAGATGTTTTTATGATGGTAAAGTCCAAAGACTAATGTATTTAAGAATAATTCCCACCATAATAGGTGGTGAATTATAATAGTATGTGGTGATGATATCCCGTTTTCTATAGACGGTAATTCCACTACAAGTTACGTTTTCTATGGGTAACTTGTTGGTAATACAGCTATTATCTGTATGATATTAAATGGTGTTGGATTTTCCGACAATTCATCGTGATAGAATATTTAAATGGAAATAATATACGTTTGTTATATCCAATATCCGAAGATGATCTCCTTCTAGTGTCTGGGCCTGGTGAGGTTCCCCGTGTTCGTTGACGGGTGTTGGTTCGGTTTGACTTTGATTTTTGGGGAGTTGTTCGATTTAGCTTTGATTTTTTGGGAGTTGTTCGATTTAGCTTTGATTTTGGGGGGAGTTGTTCGATTAGCTTTGATTTTTTGGGAGTTGTTCGATTTAGCTTTGATTTTTTTTGTCTTGGAGTAGAAGTTGAAGTTGAGGGGTTATTCAAGTCTTCCAGTTCCACTGAAGTATCCGAATCATCATCATCCTGTGTCGTGCTGGATCGATTTAGTTTTGATTTTTTTGTCTTTGGAGTAGAAGTTGAAGTTGAGGGGTTATTCAAGTCTTCCAGTTCCACTGAAGTATCCGAATCATCATCATCCTGTGTCGTGCTGGATCGATTTAGTTTTGATTTTTTTGTCTTTGGAGTAGAAGTTGAAGTTGAGGGGTTATTCAAGTCTTCCAGTTCCACTGAAGTATCCGAATCATTTTCCTCCATCTCTTCTGTATCACTTAAAACTGGATTTTGATTTGACATAATTGTATCTATTTTTTTATAATATATTAAAATTTTATTTAATAATTTACTTGGTTCAAGCAAAAAAAAAAAAAAAAAAAAAAAAAAAAAAAAAAAAAAAAAAAAAAAAAAAACTATGTTATACAGATACATTTTTAGGAGGAAGAAAGGGAATGGGGTGGGTTACTTCAAATAGTATTGGCAGCTGGAAGTCAGTCTCCTAAGGTATCAAACAAATATATGTACAAATAATAAAAACAAAATAATGTTATTAAAATTATAAGAATAAGAAATATGGTATACTGAAATATATTTAATTTAGATTTTTTGTTTTCTTTTTCAATATGATGAAAACGGTTCAAGATATAATGATTTCGGTTTGAAGTAAAAGTTTTGGGTGATGAATAGTCACCATTTCGATGCCAGTATATTTCAAGAGGAAATGTATTTGACATTCCCCAATTAGGTTCTAAGAGGGACTCATGTACAATATTTGATATTGTTAATATAAATCCATTTTTCTTGCCATATTGAATAAATGCTAATGTTAAGGCCGCTACAAAAGCAGATTCCTTTTGAGTAAAAGATTGAATATATTTATGTTTTTTTTCTTAAAAATAGAAAGGAAATGTATTTAGGAACCAAGTGTAATTTTTGAATATCAAAGTCAATTAAAATTATTAATTAAAGGTTGGCCTTCATCATCAACTAATTCATAAGGTATTTCATCAAGTTCATTCATTTTTTTTTATTTCTCTAGTTATAGTATATATATATATATATGCATGTTTTTATTACATTGTAACTATGGAATTTGTAAAAAAAAAAAAGAACTTTATAAACTTTTGGAACCAGGAACTGATATTACAGCTTTTCTCTGGAAAATGATCCAACATACTTCAATTCAGAATCAATTAGATTCAACACATGATATGTACAAATTAACTACTACTACTATTACTACTACTACTACTACTACCACCACCACCACTACTAATAGTGCTCCTACTACTACTACTACTACTATAATGCCATATTTTACCTATCCTATTAATCAAACATCATCCAATTCGGTATATTCAGGATTAATAGATGATTGTAAAAATATTAGTGATAGTTTATACTTTGTACAACATAAATTGCTTGAATGTCCTCTTATCCCAAATATATCGATCCCATTTTCAAACGTGATATTGCTCTTTATGAAAATAACTCACTAATAGGCATAAACAACCTCATTGACTTGCGAATGGCACGAGTATGGTGTGAATACCTAATGACAGATAAAATCAAACGATACGGAACCTGTCATAATCATCCGATCTTCTTAAACAATTGTCCCGGGTGGTTAATTGATGCTGTTCATCTACAGATTGCCAACCCCAATA